GGGAAGCTGGGGGTAAAGGGGGACCCCTTCCCAAAAAAACCAAAAAAAAAAAAAAAAAAGTTAAGTACAGAGAGAAGACAAGAGTTTTCTGGAGTAGCTTTCTGGAGGCTTTCATCAAGAAAGTGACACTTTCTGGGGACTTGCCCATGGGTATTCTACCACTGAGCTATACCCCTTGCTTGTAGCTCAGTCTCAGAGAATGGGTAGGGCTTTGCTAGGAACAGCAGGTCATTCCAAGCAAAAAGAGCACCATCTGCAAAGGCCAGAGATGTAGAACCTGGTATGTTCTTGGGGTAGGAGGACAGGTGGAAGGAGTGGATTTCAAGTGTTTGCTGATAGACTTAGGGAAAACATTTGTTCAAACTCCTATGCCATACCTGTCCCCTCTTATCTCTTGGGCCTTAGGAATCTCCTTACCCTATGTCATCTCTTCTTTGCTTTTCTGCTTTTTCTGAAGGTAACACAGGCCCCAGGAGACTGGGAGGTCCTGGCTGTTGTGGTCCCAGTGCCACCCTTTACCTGTTTGCTCCGGGACCTGGTCCCTGCCACCAACTACAGCCTCAGGGTGCGCTGTACCAACGCCTTGGGGCCCTCTCCCTATGCTGACTGGGTGCCCTTTCAGACAAAGGGCCTAGGTAAGGGGCTTAGAGCAGGAGGGGCAGGACCAGAGAGGAAGGGGGAGGATAGCTAGAGTTTTGAATGAAGTTGATTGAAAAGGGCTTCCTGAAAGGGAAGTTCAGATATCATGCAGCCAACATATTATTGGACACCTGCTGCATGCCACTGTATACCATTCTGTATCAGCTCTTATGGTGAAACAGATAAGCCAACTGGAAAAGGTGGGATAGTGTGCTAAGAGTACTCCAGGATAGACAAGGAAAACCCTTTAAAGAGGGCTTGGATAAAACTCAGTGGTAGAGCATTTGTCTAGCATGCAGGAGGGCCTAGGTTCAATCCCTAGCACCTCTAAAAGAGAAAAAAAAAACCTGCATGGGTGGCCAGCCTTTGACATTGTGACACAGGTCATTTATCAAATTTATGCTTGAGAATTGTTTGAGTTACCAAAAAAAATATCTGGAGCCAGGCATGGTGGCATATGCCTTTAATCCCAGTACTAGGGAGGCAGAAGCCAGGCAGATTTCTGAGATCAAAGCCAGCCTGGTCTATGGAGTGAGTTTCAGGCCATCCGTGGCTATAGGGAGGCCCTATCTCAAAAAGGCCACCCCCCAAAGAAAATCTCATCTTTATTTAAGTTTACAATTTTGTGTTGGGTCACATTCATATGGCCCTTGGGCTGTGGGCCTACCTGGGCATCAAAGAGATGTGAGTGAAATCTTCAGGATCAGGAAGAAGACATGTAAACATTTGGGGGAAAGTACAGCAAGGTAAGGATACAGAAAGTGCAAAGGCACTTAACTCGCTTAGAATTAGTTTTCTGGCAGTTCCAGGGAGGCTGGCTGGGTTGTGAGGAGGGGGAGGAGAGAAGCAGTGCCCTAGCTACACTGCCAGTGTGGGCCCCAGCTGCTGCTATCCTGCCCAGCATCTAGAGCTGTGAGAACTAGACCAGCCCTTCTCCTATCTGCTGCTCACTCAGCTGCTTAGCTCTTAGTTTGTATAGAATGGCAGTGCGAAGAAGGGTTTGCAACTTTCTTTTCTTGGTTACAGCTCCTACCATCGCTCCCCAGAACCTCCATGCCATCCGAACCCACTCAGGCCTTATCTTGGAATGGGAAGAAGTGATCCCTGAGGGTCCTTGGGAAGGCCCCTTGGGACCTTATAAGCTGTCCTGGGTCCAAGACAATGGAACCCAGGTAAGAAAGACAGGATCTTCTACTTTCTCTGTTTTCCCTACTTTCCCTACTTTCAGCCCCCTCCTTCTGAGGCCTTGGAGAGCTTTTGAAAGTCCCTCTTGGGCCAGGGCCTCCCACAGCCCCAGGGAATGCACTCTTCTACCTCCTAGCTAGGCTAGCTCATTGGATTGTCTGCTGCTGGGATTACCCTGTGGCCACTTTGTATGCAAAACTGGAAGCCTATCCCTGCTGGTACTGGGGGAAGGCATAGATAAGGCTTTGTTCCCAGCCCAGCTTTCTCTCATCCCCCCTCTGGTGATAAGCCTTGTTTATGTTCTGTGAGGCCTCTTCCCTACAGCCTGGAGCAGGAATGTGATGAGTCCCAGAGTTTGTGTTCCCAGCCCTTAGCACTCACAGCAGCCTTAGGCTTCTGAGTCCTTGTGGACTTTTTTCCCCTCCTACCCCTGCTGGAGGCTTCCTCTGGATCAATGTGGTGTGGGGCTTTTCCTGACTGCAGGATGAGCTGACAGTGGAGGGGACCAGGGCCAATCTAACAGCCTGGGATCCCCAGAAGGACCTGATTGTGCGTGTGTGTGTGTCCAATGCAATTGGCTATGGGCCCTGGAGTCAGCCACTGGTGGTGTCCTCTCATGACCATGCAGGTGAGGTGTGGGATAGGGATGGGCAGACTGGGATGGATAAGAGATTAAGGTTTTCAAGGGTAGCACAGAATGGTGGGAAGAAGCTGGTGGCACTTTCCTTCTCAGTACAACCCCATAATCTCACAAGAGAAGCAGTTGAGACCAGGGTAGTTATTCATATCTTGTTTTTAAATCTTTAATCACAACAGTGATTAGGTCACAACAGCCAGACCCTGTCACAGTCCAGCTAGAAACTTGGTTTGGTCTCAGGAGTCTCTTTAACATAGCACACTTCTTGACTAAGGATGTCTTTTTGACAAGGCTAGATGGCCATCCTGAAAAAGTTCTAAAAGGATACCTTGGCTCATAACACTGCCCTTCCCTACTGCAGGGCAACAGGGCCCTCCCCACAGCCGCACATCCTGGGTGCCTGTGGTCCTAGGTGTGCTCACAGCCCTGATCACTGCTGCTGCCCTGGCCCTCATCCTACTTCGAAAGAGGAGAAAGGAGACACGGTTTGGGTAAGGAAGTGGGGCTGGGGAAGGAGATGCAAGTGGTAGCAGAAGGCCTTTTAACTGACCCTGAGTCCTGGGTTCCCTTTAGGCAAGCCTTTGACAGTGTCATGGCCCGAGGGGAGCCAGCTGTACACTTCCGGGCAGCCCGGTCTTTCAATCGAGAAAGACCTGAACGCATCGAGGCCACATGTGAGTAGTGGAGGGTCATGGGGGGAGAGATGCACTGTCCTGTGTCCATACCTGCATTCTTTTACCAACTCAGTCTAATCAATGCAGCTGGACTGGAGTGAGTCCTAGAGTAATGAAAAAGACACACAGACCTGCCTGGTAGAGCTAACCACCCAGCTGTGGGAGAGCCAGGTTCTGTGTGCTGAGGGCAGGAATCTGGTAGGGATGGCAGGCTAGGGTTTAGATTTGACAGTAGCACCTCATTCTCATCTCCCTGCAGTGGACAGCCTGGGCATCAGCGATGAATTAAAGGACAAGCTGGAGGATGTTCTCATCCCAGAGCAGCAGTTCACTCTGGGCCGGATGTTGGGTAAAGGTGTGTGGGCAGTACATGTGCAGCACTGTCATGAATGTGCCTTCTCTGATTGGGTTTGGTTGTTCTTGTCACTTGAGGATGTGAATTTGTGTCAGCTCCTATAAACAAAATATGCTTATAGATACCTGATTTGGGGATGTTATAAGGAATCGGGGTTGGGAGGATAGGGAGCCATTTCCAACATGGTCTCCTCCAGCAGCCTTAGAGGTTGATGATTTTTTGACCCCTTGGAGGGTCATCTGAGAGTGAAGGGAAAAGGGACCTGGAGGTCACAGAGACTCCCCCTCATTATCTTCATTCCTAGGAGAGTTTGGGTCAGTGCGGGAAGCCCAGCTGAAGCAGGACGATGGCTCCTTTGTGAAAGTGGCTGTGAAGATGCTGAAAGGTAAGTTAGACAATAGGGATTGTTTCCTGAGGACCTCATGTTGAGGAGGAGGGTGAGGAGGGTGACTGATCCTAGAGCAGGTTCTGCTCTGGCCCAAGGTTTCCCAAGAAGAGCTAGTCAGCACTAACAGGGATGCTGCCTGTACCATGTGAATAATTCAGAAGCATAAACCCACACAAAGATTCGTGCCCCAGCTTTGCTCTCTGCTGTGAGCTATGACTGTCCTCACAGTTCATTCCTGGGTGAATACAGATGTGCTTAGTTGAGCTCCCGGGCTGTCAAAATCAAAGGGAAAGGCCAAACATGGTGGCTCATGCCTATAATCTCAGCACTGGGGAGGCTGAGAAAGGGAAGTTGAGGCCAGCCTGGGCTACATGGTAAGTTCCAGACCAGCCAGAGCTACAAAAAAAATATAATAATAATAAGCTGGGCATGGTGGTGCATGCCTTTAATCCCAGCACTTGGGAGGCAGAGGCAGGAGCATCTCTGTGAGTTCAAAGCCAGCCTGGTCTACATAGTGAGTTCCAGGCCAGCTGGGGCTACATACAGGGAGACCCTGTCTCAAAAAACAAAAAAACAAATCAAGCCTAGAGTGGTAATTCCTTGGGAGGCTTGAGGCAGAATGATCACAAGCTTGAGGCCAGACTAAATGGCATAATGAGACCCTGTCTCAACAAACAAATGGAAAAAAAAGAGTGAAATGGAAACATTAGCAAGTAGAGAAATTATTGGATGGCACCACATCCTGGCGGTTTCCCAGTGTCACCTAATCATAGTTAAGCTGTTTTCCTGTCCTCTGTGAAGCTCCTAGCTTCTGAAGGACAGGACTTTGGAGTCTTGGGAGGAGTTGGAGTCTTGGAAAGAGTTCAATCTTGTTTCATTTCCTCCCCCATCCTTTCTCCCAGCTGACATCATTGCCTCAAGCGACATAGAAGAGTTCCTCAGGGAAGCAGCTTGCATGAAGGAGTTTGACCATCCACACGTGGCCAAGCTTGTTGGTGAGCCCATTTGGGGGAGGCAGATATAACATAGGACTAAAAATATGCTCCACCAACTTGAGAGGGCAGCCTGGGAGAGAGAAATTCGGATTTACCCTGAGAATAAGCAGGTAGCAAACTAGATCCTGGCTAAAATCTGGCTGTAAGGCAGTTTGTTGAGAGACCTTCCATATGGAAACTGCTCCTGTGGGTGGAGGAGGGAGCAGAGAAGATGCACTAGGAGCAGGGAGCAGCAGCCAGAGCCCTGGGGTAGTCCCTAGGCAGGAGTGGAACCCACAGGAAAAGAGGTAGCAGAGCCAGCCCTAGAGATGGGTAGATACCTGAGCTATCTTTTGGCCTTTATGTGCCCAGCTCCTGATTCTCCTTTGTCTCCCAGGGGTGAGCCTCCGGAGCAGGGCTAAAGGCCGTCTCCCCATCCCCATGGTCATCCTGCCCTTCATGAAGCATGGAGACTTACACGCCTTCCTGCTTGCCTCCAGAATTGGAGAGAACCCTTTTGTGAGTGCCCCAGATAGGAGTGGCCAGGAAGAAATGGGTGTGACAAAGACCCTGGGGGAGAAGGGGCTTGGTGGGCAGAATTTAGGGAGCTGGTTGGGAAAGGGAAGAGTCAGAGTCTCACTGTCTTTAAACTGGCTTCATTTTCCCTTCTGAAGCCCTGCTGGGAATTTTAGGCCAGACACGCTCCTATTTGAAGAGGGCTACTTGATTCTCCAGCTCTTTCTTAGATTTGCCAAAGCTTCCTTGAAAGGCCCTTTCCTTTCTTTCAGTGATTCTTATGACAGTCTTTAGACTTTCTGGCCAGGGAACCCCATTCATCCTGCCCCAGCTGTATGGGCAGGTACAGCCTGAGCTTGCCCTGTCTGTCTACCAGAACCTGCCCCTCCAGACCCTGGTCCGGTTCATGGTGGACATTGCCTGTGGCATGGAGTACCTGAGTTCCCGGAACTTCATCCACCGAGACCTGGCCGCTCGAAATTGCATGTAGGAATTCTGGCGGGCTTGTGGGTGAGAGACAGCTAGTGTATCTGCTATGCATGGGGATAGCGTGGCATTAGTGAGGCTGTGAACATGGAGAAGGCTGACCCTGACCAACAACACTCCTCTCAGGCTGGCAGAAGACATGACAGTGTGTGTGGCCGACTTTGGACTCTCGCGGAAAATCTACAGTGGAGACTACTATCGTCAGGGCTGTGCCTCCAAATTGCCTGTCAAGTGGCTGGCCCTGGAGAGCCTGGCTGACAACTTGTATACTGTACACAGTGATGTGGTGAGCATGGTAGCACAATGAAGCTTGGTTATATGTCTGTGGGGGACACTAGTGTTGGGGTAGACCTATAGGACCCTGAAGGGCCAGGCCAAATCTGCTCTCTGAGCTTTGATTGCCTACTTATAAGGCCCCTGAATCCCAAGACCCCAAGATATGCTTGCCCCAAAGCTGTGGCTATGCTTGGCTCAGGAAGCCCAGTGACACTCTTCTCCCAACCCTGGTTCCGTATCAGTGGGCCTTTGGAGTCACCATGTGGGAGATCATGACTCGTGGGCAGACGCCATATGCTGGCATTGAAAATGCTGAGATTTACAACTACCTCATTGGCGGGAACCGCCTGAAACAGCCTCCGGAGTGTATGGAGGACATGTGAGTATCCTGTGAAGGGGGTTGTGGAAGGAAACATGAATCTGGGACTGTGGCTAATGGCTGCCACTACAGCTGCTGGCCCAGGGGGAGCTTAGAATTAAATTACCACAGGACTTTTGTTTTATTCTTTTAATTTTTTGTTTGTTTGTTTGTTTCTGAGACAGGGTCTTACCATGTATCACTGGCTGACCTGGAAGTCATGTAGACCAGGCTGGCCTCAAATTCACAGAGCTCCACCTGTCTCTGCTTCCCAAGTGCTGGGATCAAAAGCATGTACCACCACACCCAGCTGGTTTTTCTTTTGGGTTCTTGTAGTTAAGAATGAAGACTGACCTCTACCCATTCTTACTGTTTATCCATAGGCTCTCTGTTTACTTTTGCCCTGTTCCATCCCATCCCATCTCTTCTAATTAGGGGCTGTAGGTGGTTAAGACAGTTTCTGTAAGCAGTTCGGCTTGGCCACAAACTGTTGATCCTCTCTGTCTTAGCCTCCTGAGTGCTGGCAATTACAATGAACCATCATGCCTGACTCCCAGCCCATATTTTTTTGCTCCAGCCTTTTCCTATCACTGTTTTCTTCAGTTTCTAATGAGAGTGAGGAACTCCAAGCACTGAGAGTCCAGAGCTGGGCAGCAGTGTAGGTTTCCTTGTTACCTCCCCACTCCTGTCTCCTTTTGGGAAACCTAGCTTGTCTGAAAACCTGGCTTGAGCATGCTTTCCCTTCACACAGGGTTGTACACGGCCCCAGAAAACCTCTTACTGTCTTTGGCCAGGAGGGAGAGGCCCAAGGGATTTGGGTTCTTTTCTTGGTCTTGGTTTCTGCTTGAAGGAATAGAAGGGACCTGAGATCCTGGGAAGAACCACCTCCTTTCTTTACTGCAAGTCCAAAGTCCCAGGGAACAAGGTGAGGTGGTTCCTCCCACGGTAGTGTTTACAAATCCTTGTGGCAAGATGATGTAATTGTCACTGACCTTAGCTGGGCACTTTTAGTGTTCTTTCAGGGAATCTTCCTCTAACCCTATAAGGAAAAGCCTCATTATCTCAGTTTTCACATGAGGAACCAGGATTAAAGAGGTTAGGTAACATGACCAAGGTCATAACAACTATTATGTGAATAAGTTGGTATTTGAACCTAGATCCTTGTGGTTTTAGAGTTTGTGCTCTCGACCATGAAACTGTGATTGGTCTTCTAATTTTATTTCCTGACTCCATCCAAGGCAGGGTAACCCCGGCCCCCAAAGGACCTTTGCTAGCACCATTGGAAAGGAGTCACTCTGAGTGGTCCTGGGGAATATGTGTTCCTTTGGTTGCTTCTGAGTTAGCCCTGCAGAGTGTCACAGCCATGAACAGGCGGAGGAAAGCTGAGCCTGAATGGTGGCATTCTTCTTAGGTGCATGGATTTAAAGCCTGGAGCCTAGGCTTTGGGCGCCTCACCTAGCACCTTATTCTTTCTTTTTCTGTGGTGCTGGGGATTGAACTCAGGGCCTTGTATATGCTAGGCCAGTGCTCAACCACTAAGCTATAACCCAGCCCCTCACCCAAGACCTTAGGTGGAAGTCTGAGTGCAGGAACCAGCCCTTCCTGCCTCTTCATTCAACAGAACTCAGGGCCTCGTGGAGACTGGAAGCTTAGGTCTCTGACTATAGCCAGCACCAGTCCTTACCTGCACCTGAAGCTCTGAGGAGCAGTAGGGACAGGCCCTGGCTCAGCCTCCTCCCAGGCTGGGAACTGATGTTGTCAATGAAGGGTGGGCGGACACTGGCCTCCTACCAGGCAGCCTGGTGGAAAGGTGCCAGTTGGCTTCTAGCACAGCCTTGAGAATGTGTCCCTGTCTGGCCTTATACCCCTGGCCCTGGAGCATTCCCACGGCCTGTCTAGGGTCTGGTGTGATTCCTCCTGCCACTGGGGGTGACTCTCAGGAGAACTGGTTTGTGAGGCAGTGCTTGGGTCTTTGTTATGGGCAAAAGTCAGGAATGTGCTCCAATTGCACTGTATCTCAGACCCTTCCCATTAGGGTATGTGTGCACATGCACAAATTGTGCTTGTTTTTAAGTCAAGCCTTAGAAACAGTGATATGCATCAGAGACTTGGTAAAGTTGGCAAAATAGTGGGAGAAAAAGTATTCCTGCCAGAGAAAGAGGGCTGAAAACTTTCCTCAGATTTTTGGGGTTACCCCAGAGCAATGAGCACATAAGCATTCTGTCACGGATACTACCTCATGTGGACTGACAAAAAGGGATGTGCAAGTCCATCCCTAGAAGGGTAACTGTGACTCCAGAGCTGGGGTATATGTAGCTCAGTGGTAGAGTGCTTGGCCAACATGCATGAGGCCCTAGATTCTTCAGTACCACCAGCACCACAAAGAAAGAAACCACTCAGACTCCAGGCTGTTTTGTGCAAGATGTGCTTTAAGTTTCTCCTCCTGAGACAGTTCAGAAGAAACTTGGGAGCCAGCCATATGACTTCAAATTATAGCTCCATTTCTTTGTGTCTGTGATAAGGGGATTTTTTTTTTTTTTTTTTTTTTTTTTTGGAGGACCGAACCCAGGGCCTTGCGCTTGCCACTGAGCTAAATCCCCAACCCCAAGGGGATTTCTTGATATGAGGAGACATAGTCTCATGTATCCCAGGGTGGCCTCAAGGTAACTATGTAGGAAAGGATTACTTTATACTTCAGAGTCTCCTGCTTCTACTTCCTGAGTACTAGGATTATGGGTATGTTATGAGGTTCTGGGAACCAAACCCAGGTCTTCTGAAAAGCAGCAGGTGCTCTTAACCATTGAACCATCTCCTCTCTTTTTTTTTGGGGGGGGGAGTCAAGGTCTCACTATGTATCCTTGGCTCCCCTGGAACTCGCTATGTAGACTAGGCTGACCTTGACTTTATAGAGCTCTGCCTGCCTCTGCCTCCTAAGTGGTGTGCTGGGATAAAAGGTGTGTACTATCATGCCCAAAAGTTTTTCATTTTGTGACATAGGGTCTTGCCATGTGGCTTTTGCTGGCCTGGTACTGGGATTGTAGCCTAGGCCAGCCTCAAAACTGGTGGTAATGTCCTGCCTCAAGCTTCCCTAGTGCTGGTATAATAGGTGTGTGTCACCACACCAGCCTGCTCTATTGCTTGCTACCTGTATAACTTAGGTCAAAGTTCTTAACCTCTCCATGTTTCATTTTCCACATTTGCAAAATAGGAACTGCCTTATTTCATATATGTTTTAAAAATTAAATAATTTAGTAAATGTAGGGCTGGCAAGGTGGCTCAACAGGTAAAAGCACTTGCTGTCAAGCCTGACGACCTGAGTTTGATCCCCAGGGACCCACATGGTAGAAAGAGAGAACTGATTCCCACACGTTATCCTCTGACCTATATGCCTGCTGTGGCGTGTGTACATACACACACACAAAATTTAATAAATGTAATAATTTAGTAAATGTAAAATACTTTAAAATGGTGCCTGTTGTATAGTAAGTCTTATATACTAATGTGGTAAATAATCTTTTTTTCTAGTCCCAGTGCCATATGACTAAGGGGCCTCTGCTTTGGTGCCACTTCCTCCCCTTATTCTTTCTGTCTCAGATATGATCTTATGTACCAGTGCTGGAGTGCTGACCCAAAGCAACGCCCAAGCTTCACATGCCTGCGAATGGAGCTGGAGAACATTCTAGGCCACCTGTCTGTGCTGTCCACCAGCCAGGACCCCTTGTACATCAACATTGAGAGAGCTGAGCAGCCTACTGAGGGAGGAAGCCTGGAGCTGCCCTGCAGGGAGCAATCCAGCAGTGAGGCAGGGGATGGCAATGGCATGGGGGCAGTAGGTGGCATCCCCAGTGACTGTCGGTACATCTTCAGCCCTGGGGGACAGGTGGAGCAGCAGCCAGAAAGCCCCCTCAACGAGACCCAGAGGCTGCTGCTGCTGCAGCAAGGGCTACTGCCCCACAGTAGCTGTTAACACACAGGCAGAAGGCAGCTGGGGCCATCCACCTGGCTCTGCTGGCTACTGTGCTGGCTGACTAAGCCCAGTCTGACCCCAGCCCAGGCAGCAAGGTATGGAGGCTCCTGTGGTAGCCCTCCCAAGCTGTGCTGGTACCTGGACTGACCAAATTGCCCAATCCCAGTTCTTCCTGCAGCCACTCTGGCCAGCCTGGCATTAGTTCAGGCCTTGGCTTGGAGAAGGTGAGCTAGACCTGGTTGCCTGAATTCAGGCAGCTGGCAAGGGGGTGGTGGCTACTTTTCCATGGGTACCATGGTGTGGATGGCAGTTGGGGGGTAGATCCAGCCCTGTGGGCCCCTACCCTCCTGGCTGAGCTGCCCTTGCTGCTTTAGTGCATGCATGGAGCTGCCTCCAACTGGGAGGCCCAGCAATGCCCACCACACTTGGGTTTAAATGCCAGGTTTGCCCCTCTAAGTCACAAAGAGATGTCCTTGTACTGTTCCCTTTTAGGTGAGAGTTAGGAAGGGATTAGCACACTCGGGTTTCAAAACCCTGTGGCAGGAGATGGTGGAACACGCTCCTCATCACCTTCCTGATCTCCACCCTGCCAGGCATGGAGCTGTCTGGGCCCCTCTAAGGCATGTGGGAGTACCACAGGCTACAGAGGCCCATCTTCTAGAGGCAGTACACTCTGAGCCTGGGCAGGCAGAAGGGGTGCTGAGGGGCTGGCCCAGGAGTGAGTGAGATGGGAGGAGTTCAGGAGTACCACTCCAAGCCTCCCACAGTCTGTTTGAGCATGCTACCATGTCCCTAAATATCCCAAGACTAACAAAGGCAATTGTGTCTGAGCCCAGCCCTTCTACATGGTGACCCTTAGGCCCACCCTTCCCTCTAACTGGACACCCTCTTCTGTCCCAAATCTCTAGAGAGAGAATAAGCCTGATGGCTGGTGTGGGTGAGAGAAGTTCCAGGAGCCTGGACCCCATCCCCAACTGGAGGTATCTCCTGAAATATACATAGCAGGCCCTTGCTGTTAGGGACATTTCCAAGCTGTTAAATTGCTATTTTAAAACAGAAATAAAATTGAAAATTAAAGTCAAGATTTGTCTTTTTTGTTTTACTTTGTGTTTTGAGACAGGGTCTCACTCTGTAGCCTTAGCTGGCCTAGAACTCACTATATAGACCAAGCTGGCATCAAACTCACAGATATCTGCCTGCCTCTACCTCTGATCCTCTTGCCTCTACTTCCAGAGTACTGGGATTACCTTTTTATTATAAGACCAGGTCTTTTGTAAGCCAGTCTGCCCTTAAACTTGCTGTACATCTGAGGATGACCTTGAACTTCTAATCCTCCTGCTTCTACTGACTGCTGGGATTACAGGTATGTACCACCACACTTGGCTTATTTGGTGCTGGAGATCTAACCCAGGGCATCATGCATACTAGGCAAGCACTCCACCAACCCAGCTACATCTCCAGCCCAAGGCTTTGTCTCTTAAATGTTTGCTTGTTTTAACTTCCAGATCATATAAAAAATGAAGCATTTCAACATAGAGAAAAGTCTGGAAAGACATGCCAAAATGTTAACAGCTGTTATCTTTATATGATGTGACTAAGAGGATCTTTTTTCTTCTAGTTTCCTCAGTTTTCTGTGTTAAGCACAATGTACTTTTTCTTTTCTTTTTTTTTTTTGAAGGTTTATTTTATGTTTATGAGTGTTTTGCTTGCATGTATGTATGTAAACCACATGTGTGCCTGGTGCCTGAGGAGGCCAGAAGAGGGTATTGGATCCTCTGGAATTGGAGTTACAAGCAGTTGTGAGCCACCATGTGAGTGCTGGGAACTGAACCCAGGTCCTCTGCGAGTGCAGTTTAGTACTTTTAACTGTGAGCCGTCTTCAGCTCACAACATACTGTTTTAAGAAATTAAGACCCCAGTGAATCTCACCATATTAAAGATAATATAGTCTTTGTAGACAATTAGGAAGATGTAGAAAACTATAAAACATGCCACTTGCCTAAACCATCCAGTGGTAGTCCCCATTGGTCTTTGAAAATGTGAACATTTTGGCAAAAGTTTCAATGTAGAACCGTGAGGCTGTCTGCTCTTTCTAAACTCTGTCAGACATTTCCTTTCATCATTGGCTCATCATTCATGCCTGGAGCCTGGGAATCAGTGGTCAAAGAAAGGTGAGCCCCAAGAAGATTAGAAATAGGAGTAGGGGTTTTGGTTCCACCTGCAGCTTAGTTGGGATGCTCAAAGCAATGCAACCTCTGCTGGGGTGGACGGAAACGGATTGGCACAGCTGCTGGCTGAGGGCAATGGAATGAGATGGACCTGTCCCAAAGCAGGTATCCAGAAAAACCTGTTGGTTCTCCAGTTCTGGTTCCCACATAACTCATTAGACCTGAATTAATTCCATGCAAGTAGCTTTCAGAATCTTTCCTGCTGTGGTTAGCTTTAACTGAAGGTGGTGATTAACTGTGAGATAACGTTGGGAATTATTGACTGAGAAGATTTTTTCCTCTCAGGTAATTGTCTGCCAATAATGGGTACCTGTCATGTGCCAGATACTGTGGCTATTCTCCTTTAATACAGCTTTCCTAGAAGTAGGAATGTAATTACCATCCTCTAAGACAGGAGAGGCAGAGTAAGCCAATTGTCCAAGGTATTCTAGGTGGGAAATCCATTGAGTTAGAGGACAGCTTGCAAGAGTCAGTTCTTTCATTCCACCATATGACAGTCCTGAGGATCGAGCTCAGGTCAGGTTTGATTGCAAACATGTTAACTCTGAGCAATCTCACTGGCCCTTTGAAAAAATATTTTATTACATTTAAAAAATTTTGTGAGTGTGCACAAAAGTGCCATGGGCCAGATGTGGTGGCACACACCTTTAATTCCAGCACTTGGGAGGCAGAGGCA